GATGTAGGAACTGGCGATGAGTCGAAACGCTAGGAAAAGGATAACGTTTGGGAACAGGTATTATGTTATTATGAACGTGACTTTGATATACATAATAAACTCTCTCTTCAATATGAATTTAAAAGAGCCAAAATCTTAATAAGTAATGAAAAATACATTAGATGTGCACAAAAAACACAACATTTATGATTTTACTCAACCCTATCCCATACCTAAGTATAAGATGCCAATGCTATACAATGTTTAACAACCTGTGCATAATGCATGAGCACCGGTAGCACAACTATCTAAACTATTCATACACTCTAAATGCCATTAAAATTAATGAATAATAACAATTTACAAATAGTTAAACTCTTGTTTTATAAGTGTTTATAATGATTAAACTCTATTATATAAACTACAAATTAAAAAAGATATCTCACAAATTAAGTATAAATACTTGTTTAATAATTGCAATATAACTATAAATAATAAATACTATAAAATAGGACNTCTCTCTCTCTCTCTCAGACGGTATTTCACATCCCATTTAATAATCAACGCATGAAAAGCATTAGAAAATATGTGAAAAATAATAAATTTTTGTCATAAAAATTACTGACAATTAAAGAGACAATAAATATAAGTGAAACAAAACATAGATTTTTACGATGAAAATAAAAAACAAAATCTAAAAACCATTTTCTTGTTGTTATTTGGTTTTTGCGAAACAAAACATAAAGTGATTTAAAGTTTTCAAAATTTAAACTCAAGTTATTTTTTGTTGCATTTTCTTGTTTGTTATGCTTAAACTAGTGTTGGGTAAAATGAGAAATTTCCAAAAATTACGAGAAATTTCTAACAAATTTCTCAAGAAATTTCTCCGTCTATGGGAACCCCATTAAACTCTATGTAATCGTTCTTGACGTTATATATGACCGTACCTCCCATTTGGTCCTATTTTATAGTATTTATTATTTATAGTTATATTGCAATTATTAAACAAGTATTTATACTTAATTTGTGAGATATCTTTTTTAATTTGTAGTTTATATAATAGAGTTTAATCATTATAAACACTTATAAAACAAGAGTTTAACTATTTGTAAATTGTTAATTGGTTTTAATTGACTAATGTTAAAAGTTTTTACAAAATAATTTGTTAAATAATTATGTCATTTCATTAATAACAAATTAATTGTTTAAATAGATATTACGTAAGTTAAAACCCATTTTTAAAAAATAATAATTAACTGATTTTATATTCAAAATAGTATTTTGTTGGCATTTTAATACAAGTCTTGTACCTTTCAATGCACAATGTCTATGGGAACCCCACAGTAAACTATAGATATTTTTTTATAAACATGTGTTTTGATTTTACAATTAATTAAGACTTCGACGTTTATTTAAATGAAACTATTTCTTATGATCATGTTAAACATCCTGGACACTATTTTGCTTCTAATTATGGCTTAACTTTATTTAAGAAATCACAACATTTGGTGTTCTATGGGAACCCCACGTAATCCAATGTGTCTCATTACAATACATACAAATATACAAAGGCTTCACATAAATTACATGAGTTTATTATTACGTTATTTCTTTGGGTCTTTCTATGGCATTTGAGCCAATTTTGTGTGTTTTTATGTGTTTTATCATTTCAGTGCATGCATTAGTAGTTAATAAAACATATTTAATTGAGAATATTTTGTTTATAAGTTTATTAACTTAATTATTCAATGTTTTGATTAAATTTCTCAGAGAAATTTGTTCAGGAGAAATTTCTAGAAATTTCTACCGAGAAATTTCTAAGAAATTTCTTTTTGGCCAACACTAGCTTAAACACAAGGTTAATAAAATGCAATGAAATTAAAACAGTGTCTAATTATAATTAATAGTAGTTTTCATAATAAAAATCATACATAAATTTATAATTATATGAGAATGTGTTTAAAACAATACTCAACAGAATTCATGTAAAATTAAATTAAAACAAAAAAATTAAACACATTTTCTTAAAAACAAATTTTTATTTTCATTGAAATATAATCAACAAAACAAAAGTGAAACAAAAAACAACAGACAAAACAAAAACAAAACCTTATTTAAATTTATTTTATTTAATTATAATTATTATAATCATTATTAATCAATTAATTAACCAATATATCAACAAATATATATCATCGTCAAATATTGTCTATAATGTTTAAATGTGTATGCGATCACTCATACAACGATGTCGTACAACACTTAGATGTTGTGAGCAATTAAATCATCATGATCTCAGATGTTCGGGCATATCGATGATGGTAATGTCCGTATGTGAGAGGGTAGGCACAAGTAGGCACTTATGTATAAATATATGGGCAATCCATACAAAACACGATGATATTTATTTAGGTTTTTTAGTGGTGGTAGTAGACTTAGGTGGTGGTTGTGGTGGTGTTGGTGATTTTGCTTTTGATTTTGATGATGCTGATGATTTTGGTTTTGGTGATGGTGTTGTTGTTGTTGTTGTTGGTATAGGTGGTGGTGTTTTTGGTGTTGGTGATGGTGGGGTTGGGGTCGATGATGGTGGTGGTGATGGCTTTTTGGTGCACTGTTTTTTAGCCGGCTCATTTTGTTTAGTCTTTTTTATTGGCTGCTTTGGGAGCCTTAATGCAAAATATTAGGAACAGTGTATAGACAACAAACGCACCGGTAATCGATGCCAAGGCATACATGAACAGATTGAGCTCTGGGTGCCGATACCTGTTCTTACGTAACCACTCCAACACGTCCTCCTCCTTCATCAGATCACCTGGTGTTGGGTCCGCACGGGTCGGGCATAGAGTTGGGGTCAAATTGGGGGCAAAGTTGGGGTTGAGTTGTGTCGAGTAGAGTATGGAAAAAGGTTTGCAAAAAATAGTTGTATTAGTTTTTCCTGGTTTTAGGTAATTGTGGTGTAAATACGGAAAGTTCTTTGGGTATACCCCGGGGTATGCGCTGTCATGTGAATACGGGTCTGGACTTTATTTTTGTATTATTGTTATTATATATTTTATACAAACTTTTATTTGTATTTAATTGTATATTTATGTTCAATATTTTAGACTATTCTCTCTCTCTCTCTCTCTCTCTCTCTCTCTCTCTCTCACTCGTCAGAGGACGACAACCATTAATACTAAACTAATGTCCGATTAAAAAAAACACAACATATGAGAGAAAAATCTCTCTCTCTCTCTCTCTCTCTCTCTCTCTCTCTAACCGTTAATTTGACAAAAATTAAATTTATATAAATATTTTCTCACTATTATATCCAAACATAACATAATCTGTTCAATAGATTACAGTAAGAAATGCAAAAAATTGTCTATAAAATTATATACACAAAAAACACACACATCTAATCATTGCGTCGATAATAACAGGTATTTATCCATTTGGAGAGCTGTAGAATAAGAAAATGATGGTAAAATCAATTGATGTCTATCCCTAACTGACAGCACCGGTATTTTGTATCGATAATATACAGTGTTATATAATTGATAACCCCTTTTGTATGTGTGTATAGTGTATGTACTCTAGGGTTTGGTTCACACAAAACGATTGTATTGTCTATTTGTGTTGTCACTCACTGTCACACACCATATGATGGGTACTAACCATCGGTTTGCAGCACTTCCCGAAAAAAGCACCGGTAGTTATGTTTGTTTGGGAACCGAATTACTCTATGTTTACGTGTATTACATGCAAACATAAAACTTGATAAAATTCAACATGCACGAAAAATATCTGTGCAAACCTATACCAGAATAGCGTATATTATATAAAATATACAAATTATATTATATATTATTATGCATATTTCAAAACAACCTAGCGCATCCCATTGCCCGCGGATCCTATGATTTTCTACCTAATGCAAATTTAAAGCTGCTAAAATACCTCGATAAATAGCCGGGAACTTTTTCCTAAACATGACGAGTGCGGGCACTTCGCCGATGCCGTACTTCCGGGCGTAACGACTGTCCCGTATCTTCACAAACATAATGTCCAATTCGTCGCACTCGTCGTCGATGTGCTCCAACTCTCGCAGCACTTCCTCGCAGTCGTAACAGTCCTTCTCGTCTGGAATTGCGGTTTTGATTTGCATAACAAATGCAAATAAATAGTTAATTATAATTAAATTGTAGCTAAAATTTACAATATGCAGTACACCCCCGCACACACATTTTTTGTTTATTTATGACCATGTGCATTGTTAAATTTTAGTGATAGAATTAGGCCAGACCTACGATAAAACTTCTAGATGTAATTCATTTGAAGGTTACTAAAACATGACATATTAATCATATGGTAAATTAACACATAACAAACCTATTCACTACTCTGTATTAAACATCAAAACAATATCATGTTAAATCATTTTAGCAACAAAAATATTGATGACATTTCTGGGTCATAAACAGGTAAATATACAGCAAGATGGGTGTGCGGGGGTGAGGGCACAGGTAGGCAATGCCAAAGCCTGCTTACAAAAATATACGGCCACAAAATCATTATCGTTGAGCAGTTTGTCCAACATTTTGCGATTCACTTCTTCGATCTCGTCCTTAATCTCGAAGACATCATTACTGGTCAGCCATTTGAGTACCTTTTCCTCGTCCAGAAGGTCGCCGTCGTATAGTATAGGCGACTGTTTCCGGAAATATGCCAGAGTTGGGAACGTATGCACGTTGTACTTATGGGCGGCCTTGTTGTCGTTCACTATATCGAGAGTACACCGTATGTGCGCGTATGGTTTCGGGTGTGGGATGTGTAGTGTATGGCCCGGCGGGTCAAGTGTATGACAGAGAGAGAGAGAGAGAGAGAGAGAGATGGTTTTAATGGGAAATAATCAGGGAAACAATATATGGGATTAATAGTGAATAGGAAATACAGTTAAATGAGGTTTTTATATAAA